GTTGTGGGGTTGTTAACCAATGTCATAAAACAATATGTGTACTACTGTTTCATGAGAAACTATTTGTTCTATAAGCCTTCACCTGAAGTACAATAAAAAAAAAAGAGAGTTTTTACACTCACTGATTAAAAGATTTATCATAAAACTACTATAATCAAGACACCATGGTATTAGAATAAAGATAGATAAATAGATCAATGGAACAAAATAGAATACAGCAATAGACCTGGACATATATGGTCAATTGATTTTTGACAAAGGTGCAAATTCTGTGGAGAAAGGATAGTTTTCAACAAATAGTACTAGAATAATTAGATAGCCATGTGCAAAAAAATAAAGAACCTCAATCCATACCTCACACCATATACAAAAATTAACTCAAGATGGATCAGATCATAAACCTAGATGTTAAATCTAAAACTATAAAACTTCGAGAAGAAAACATACAAGAAAATCTTTCTGACCTTGGGTTATGCAAAGGTTCATAAGATATGACACCAAAAGCAGACCCATAAAAGAAAAAAATTGATAAATTAGATTTCATTAAAATTTAGAACTTCTGTTCTTCAAAAGTTACTGTTCAGAGAATGAAAAGACAAGTCACAGACAGAGAGAAAACATTTTTCAAATCATATATCTGATAAAGGATTTTATTCAGAATATATAAGTACTATCAAAACTCAGTAATAAGAAAAAAATAACCCATTTTTTTTAAAAGGGAAGTAAAAAGACAACCCACAGAATAGGATGAAATATTTGTAAATCATATACCTAGATGATTACATCCAGAATATATTTAAAAAAAAACTCTAGCAAATCAACAATAAAAAAAAAAAGCCAATTTTAAAATGGGCAAAGGATCTGAATAGTTGTTGTTAGATGCCTTTGAGTCAGTTCTGACTCATAGTGACCTTGTGTACAACAGAACGAAACACTGCCTGGTCCTGAGCCATCCTCACAATCGTTGCTATATTTGAGCCTGTTGTTGCAGCCACTGTGTCCATCCATCTCGTCGAGGGTCTTCCTCTTTTTCGCTGATCCTCCACCATCTGAATAGACATTTCTCCAAAGAAGGTATACAAATGGCCGATAAGTGCATCAAAAGACGCTCAATATCATTAGCATTAAGAAAATGCATATTAAAACCGTAATGAGATACCACTTCACATCCACTAGAATGGCTACAATAAAAAAGATAGATAATAACAAGTATTGGTGAGGATGTGGAGAAATTGGAACGCTCATTCATTGCTGGTAGATGCAGTCACATTGGAGAACCGTCTGGTAATTTCTCAGATGACTGAATGTGTAGTTACCATATAACCCAGCCAATCTGCTACTAGGTATATACCCAAGGGACATGAAAACATATGTGCATACAAAAGTTGCACATGGATATTCATAGCAGCCTTATTCATAATAGCCAAGAAATGGAAACAACCCAAATGTCCATCAACTGAGGAATGGATGAACAAAATGTTGTATAGCCATACAATGGAGTATGATTTGGCTACAAAAAGGAATGAAGTACTAATAAGTGCCACAATATGGATGATCCTTGAAAACATTACGCTAAATGAAAGAAGTCAAACACAAAAGACCACATATTGTGTGATTCAATTTGTATGAAATGTCTAGAATAGGCAAATTCATAGATAGAAAGTAGATTAGTGGCTGCAAGTGGCTAGGGTTATGGGGTTTCTTTTGGGGGTGATAAAATGTTCTGGAAGTAGACAGTGGTGATGGTTGCATAACTCTGTAAATATACTAAAAACCACTAATTTGAACACTTTAAAATGGTGAATTTTATGGTATGTTAATTATATCTCAAAAATGCAAAACAAATACAAAAAAAAAAAAAAAGGCAAAAGATTTGAACAGACACTTTGCCAAAGAAGATAACCCAAAACCAAAACAAAACAAAAAAAACTAAACCCGCTGCTGTGGAGTGGATTTTGACTCATAGTGACCCTGTAGGACAGAGCAGAACTGCCCCATAGGGTTTCCAAGGCTGTAATCTTTACGGAAGCAGACTGCCACATCTTTCTCCCACACGGAGTGGCTGGTGAGTTCAAACCATTGACCTTTCAGTTAGCAGCCAAGCACTTTAACCACTGTGCAACCAGGCTCCTTCTCACTAGTCATTAAACCACTGCTGTCGAGTTGATTCCGACCCACAGCGACCCTGGAGGACAGAGCAGAACTGCCCCATGGGGTTTCTAAGGCTGTAATCTTTATGGAAGCAGACTGCTACATCTTTCTCCCTGGTGGGTTCTTTCCGGTAGCAGCCAAGTGCTTATCCACTGGCCCACCAGGGCTCCTTCACTAGTCATTAGGGGAATGAAAATTAAAACACGAGATTCTACCATATACCTATTAGAATGCGTACAATTAAAAAGAATGACCATAGCACGTTTTGGCAAAGATGAGAAGTAACTGAAATTCTTACACATTGCTGGTGGGGAAGTAAAATGGTGCAATCACTTTGGAGAACAGTTTGGCAGTTTCATTAAAAGGCAAGCATATGCATACCACATGATCCATTCCACTGCTACTTATGTACCCAAGAGAGATGAAATCACACGTCCATACGAAGACTTAGAGATGAAGGCTCACAGCAGCTTTATTTGTAATAGTCAAAAACTGGAAACAACGCAAATATCCACTAATAGGTGAACAAATAAAACAAATTGTAATACATCCATACAGTGGGATACTACTTAGTAACAGAAAGAATGAAGCGTTGTTACACACAATAACATGAATAAATCTCAAAATAATCATGCTGAGTGAAAGAAGCCAGATAAAAAAGGGGATGCATACTGCATGTTATGGACTAAATTGTATCCCCAAAAAATATGTGTTGTAAATCCTAACCCCGTTTGGTTAGTAGCCCGAGCTCTTAACCGCTTCATCACCAGGGCTCCAGTTTCCTGAATACAATCAAACACTTCGAGGGACAGGGTAGCAGGGGCGGGGGTCTGGGGACCATGGCTTCAGGGGACATCTAGGTCAACTGGCATAACAAAGCTTATTAAGAAAATGTTCTGCATCCCACTTTGGTGAGTGGCGTCTGGGGTCTTAAAAGTTAGCGAGCGGCCATTTAAGATGCATCAATTTTTCCCAACCTACCTGGAGTAAAGGAGAATGAAGAACACTATGGACAAAAGGAAAGTATTAGCCCAAGAGACAGAAAGGGCCACATAAACCAGAGACTGCATCAGCCTGAGACCAGAAGAACTAGATGGTGCCTGGCTACCACCAATGACCGCCCTGACAGGGAACACAACAGAGAGTCCCTGACGGAGCAGGAAAAAAGTGGTGTTCAGAACTCAAATTCTAGTAAAAACAGCGGACTTAATGGTTTGACTGAGATTGGAAGGACCCCGGAAGACATGGCCCCCGGACTCTCTGTTGGCCTAGAGCTGAAACCATTCCTGAGGCCAACTCTTCAGATGAAGATTAGACTGGACTATGGGACGTAAAGTGATATGCAGGAGGAGTGTGCTTCTTAGCTTAAGTAGATACTTGAGTCTAAATGGGCAGCTCCTGTCCGCAGGTGAGATGAGAAGGCAGAGAGGGATCAGGAGCCGGTTGAATGGACATGGGAAATCAGGAGTGGAAAGGAGGAGTGTGTTGTCACAGCATAGGGAGAGCAACTAGGGTCACGTAACAATGTATGTATAACTTTTTGTATGAGAAACTGACTTGAATTGTAAACCTTCACTTAAGCACAATAAAATTAAATTAAAAAGAAAAAGAAGATCACCAAGGAGTCAAGGAACAGAAGATGAGTAGAGACATCTTTCCCCAGAGCCAACACAGAGAGAAAGCCTTCCCTAGAGCCAGTGCCCTGAATTCAGACTTCTAGCCTCCTAGACTGTGAGAAAATAAATATCAGTTTGTTAAAGCCATCCCCTTGTGGTATTTCTGTTACAGTAGCAGTAGATAACGAAGACACTTTATGATTCCATTTGGGGAAACTTCCAGGAAATGCAAACAAATCCATAGTGACAGAAAGCAGATCAGTGGTTGCCAGAGTATAGAGAGGGTGAGAAGAATGATAACAAAGGGACACAAGGAAACTTTTTGGAGTGATGGACATGCTCATTTTCTTGATTGTGGTGATGGTTTCACGGGTATATACATATGTCAAAATGTATCAAATTGTACACTTGAAATAGGTGCAAACGTATGTCAATTATACTTCACTGACACCATTAAAAATATATACAACCTACCCTGGAAGACATGGCCCCCGGATTCTCTGTTAGCCCAAAACTAAAACCATTCCCAAGGTCAACTCTTCAGATAAATATTAGATTGGACTATGGGACATAAAATGATACTCATGAAGAGTGTGCTTCTTAGCTCAAGTAGATACATGAGTCTAAATGGGCAACTCCTGTCCGTAGGTGAGATGAGAAGTCCGAGAGGGTCAGGAGCTGGTTGAATGGACACGGGAGTGGAAAGGAGGAGTGTGCTGTCATAGCATAGGGAGAGTAACTAGGGTCACATAACAATGTATGTAAAAATGTGTATGAGAGACTAACTTGAATTGTAAACTTTCACTTAAAGCACAACAATAAAAAAAAATAAAATAACCTAACTCTGAAGTAAGTTAATCACAAGGTCAAATATTGTCTGATCTCACGTCTATGAAATATCCAGAATAGGCAAATGCATAGAAATAAAAGTTTATTAGTGGGTTACTAGGGGCGAGAGGAAAGGTGAAAGGTGGCATTATTGTTTAGGAAGCACTGGGTTTCTGTTTATGGTGATGAAAAACTTGGCAATGGATATTGGTGATGGTTTCACGACATGATTAATATAATTGATGCCACTTAATTGTACACGTGAAAAACGTTAAGTTGACAAATGTGTTATATACATTTTTGCAATGACAGAAAAAGTTAAAAAAAAAAACTAAATCTTAAAAGTTTTTTTGTAGTCAAATAAGTTTGGAAAAAGCAACATACTCTAATCACCTCTTACAAGATCCATAAGGCTCAGCAGCTAACACACAGCTTCTAGGAAATCCTCACATAAAGGAACCTGTTTTCACTTTGTTCAACCCAGCATGTTCCAATTTTATTTGTACACAGAACCCCACTCCCACCCCAGCACTCTGTGACATACTATGGGGCCACTTTGGAAACATGCCTTAAACTCTTGCTGTGGACAATCAAGGCTAGGTGTGGGCTCCTGGATATCCCAGTGACCCATGCAGACTGGGTGCTTGGCATCTCCAGGCACAGAGAGGAGCTAACACAGTGCACGGGAAAGGGGGGTACAGAGAGGGGTCTTTCACCTCCTTTGTGGGTCAGTCATTCCACACCCTTCCACCCAGATCTCCAGGGGGATTACCTGGCAGCTCTCAGGGGGCTGGCCTTCGGCGGTACCTGGGTTTGGCTGCCTCCCCTGCTGGCTCTCAGGCTCTGTCCCTGAGCCTGGCTGCTGCAGCTCATCGAACGCTACAGGGACCCTGGGAGGTTGCAACCCCAGATTGCTCCCTGGCTTGGTCTCATCCTGGTCTGCTTGCAGCTCCCCGGCTCCTTCCTGGGGGGCCCAAGATGATTGTTTCTTCCTGGGGAGAAAGACAGGTGCACCTCAGCTCCCAGACCAAGACATTTTGTTTTCTATTCTTAGACTTCTTTGTGCTTTCCCCCTTCCCCCCAGCATCTGCACAGAGCTAGGGACACCGTAGGTGCACACTTAATGCCTGGGAGAATGAATGAAGGACCTACACAAATTCCTTAAATCTCAGATACTTTGATGTCAATGCTTAGGGGAGTTAGGATTTAAATCTTTCAGTATTATTTACTGCTTTTCAGGAAAAAAGAAAAATCAGAGAGAACTGGTGTTCAGAGAGGATGAAAGACTTGAAACTAGGGTCATAAAGCTAAAGATGAAAACTCTGAATTTGAATCTGCGTCCATTTGATGAAATCAGGTATCAGATATTCTGGAATATTTCCTCCAGGCTCATATATACATATATGAGAACTGCCCTATAGAGTTTTCTTGGCTATAATCTTAATGGAAGCAGATTACCAGGCCTTTTCTTCTGTGGTACTGCTGGTTGGCTTTAAACTGCCAAGCTTTGGGTTAGCAGTCGAGTGCAAACCATTTGTGCCATGTATTATACATATGTCTTCATATATAGAGAGGTTTGTCATCTTCAAATACATAATTTTACAGTTATAATCAAATTGCATATACAATTTTGTAATTTACTTTTTTCAAGTAACATTATAGCTTAAAATTTTCCCATGCTAAAAATCCTTCATAAACATGCTTCATAATGAAAGTACAATATCCCATAATTTATAGATAGCCATAATTTACGCAGCAACATGAGCCAGATTTAGAAGAGGATGTGGAACTAGGGATATCATTGCTGATGTCAGATGGATCCTGGCTGAAAGCAGAGAATACCAGAAAGATGTTTACCTGTGTTTTATTGACTATGCAAAGGCATTTGACTGTATGGATCATAACAAATTACAGATAACATTGTGAAGAATGGGAATTCTGGAACACTTAATTGTGGTTATGAGGAATTTGTACATGGATCAAGAGGCAGTTGTTTGAACAGAACAAGGGTATACTTCATGGTTTAAAGTCAGGAAAGGTGTGAGTCAGGGTTATTTCCTTTCACCATACTTATTCAATCTATATGCTGAGCAAATAATCCAAGAAGCTGGACTATATGAAGACAAACAGGGCATCAGGATTGAAGGAAGACTGATTAACAACCTTCAATAGGCAGATAACACAACTTTGCTTGCTGAAAGCAAAGATGACTTGAAGCACCTACTGATGAAGATCAAAGATCACAGCCTTCACAAAGGATTACATCTCAACATAAAGAAAACGAAAATCCTCACGATTGGACCAATAAGCAACATTATGATAAAGAGAGAAAAGATTGATGTTGTCAAGGATTTCATTTTACTTGCATCCACAATCAACACCCATGGAAGCAGCAGTCAAGAAAGCAAAAGACACATTGTATTGGGCAAATTAGCTGCAAGAGATCTCTTTAAAGTGTTAAAAAGCAAACATGTCACCTTGAGGACTAAGGTGCGCCTGACCCAAGCCATGGTGTTTTCAATGGCCTCATATGCGTGTGAAAGCTGGACAATGAATAAGGAAGACTGAAGAAGAATAGATGCCTTTGAATTGTGGTGTTGGTGAAGAATACTGAATATACCATGGACTGCCAGAAGAACGAACAAATCTGTCTTGGAAGAAGTACAACCAGAATGTTCCTTAGAAGCAAGGACGGTGAGACTTCGTCCAACATACTTTGGACATGTTATCAGGAGAGATCAGTCCCTGGAGAAGGACATCATGCTTGGTAAATTAGAGGGTCAGTGAAAAAGAGGAAGACCCTCAACCAGATGGATTGACACAGTGTCTGCAACAATGGGCTCAAGCACAGCAACAATTGTGAGGATGGCACAGGACAAGGCAGTGTTTCGTTCTGTTGTACAGAGGGTCGCTATGAGTTGGAACCCACTTGACAGCACCTAACAACAACGTGATTTACTTAACCATTTCCTTATTGTGGACATTTAGAGGATTTCTGATTTCTTAGTATTTAAAATAATGTGACAGTGGAAATCTTTGTGCATAAAGCCTAGCTTGAATCACCAATTATTTCTTTAGGTCAAGTGCCTAGAAGTGGATGGAGGGAAAGGCAGTTTAAAGGTCATTTAAACAAATTGCCAAATTGTTTAAACAGAGATTTTGAAATGGTTTACATTTTCACCAGCATGGTATGCAGTTGTGAGCGATGAGTTTGTCTTTTTATATGGCCTTTCTGGCCATGGTCTTGTAACTCCCACAAAACGATTGGGTGGCCCACCAAGGGGATTGGTCAGTTTTGTCATCCCACTAGGCTTAAAAAGGGCCAATCCCATGGGTTGGGGGTGGGGGGACCTCATTACCATCCAGAAGAAGAGCCAGGAGCAAAGGGCATACTTTATACCCAGGGTTCCTGCTCTGAGAACCTCCTAGACCCAAGAGATGGGGGAGCGCTATAACACTGGAGACCGCACAGGCAGGCAGCGGCACGGGACGGCAGCCAGCTGCAGGGACCGGCCCACCCGCAGAGCCAGAGTGAGAGAGCTGAGTGTCTTTGGGCAGGAGGCTTCCTGGCAGAGTAGGGTGCCTCCAGGCACTTATTGGTGGAGCGAAAGAGCTGTAACACTTGCCCAAGTAGGGCAGAAGCTGAGCCGGAGGGCCAGCGGAGAGCACAGGTGAGAGCGCCACCTGCCTGCGGGCACAGCTCAGAAGGAGCTCAGAGGTTGGAAGCTATCCTGACCGATGAACTCTATCCTGTCTCCTGAGTTGTTCCTGCTACTTCCAAGTTGATCCTGATCTTGAATGTAACCTGTTACTTCCCTAATAAACCCTGTAATGGTGACCATGTTCTGTGAATTCCTTGTGGCCATTGCAATGAATTATTGAACCCAGCTGAGAAGTAGCGTGCGGTGGGAGGGACAACTGGTGTCAGAATCGGTAAAAGGTTGGAGAGAGGAGTCATGTCTGACCTCCACCTCACAGGAAGCAGCTTTGGGCTGATGGTGATTATCATCCCCCCTGGTGAAGTTAGAGAACTTCGGCGCTACCATTTTACACCTGCACTTCTCTCAGGCAGGACCCAAACCTGGCTTTGATTCATTCCCCTCACTTTTCACCTAGAAAAGGTAATTTAGGAGTTTTGGGTTATAATCAAATTTAATTGATAAAGCTGGCTCATCTTTACTATTCCTATTACCCAAGTTTTTCATTTTGCCTCTCTTTGTCTCTCTTTCAATTTTCTTTTTTCTCCCATTTTCTCTTTTTAAAAAGAATACACTCTCACTGTAGAAAAGTTTTTTAATGTGTAGACTATTTAGAAAATAATAGCGATAGTACCACGTAAATCTTCGTGTGTTTCTGTGGCCCTCAGACTCTTTCTGGTTCCTTCATCTATTAATCCAGTGAACAAATATTTACAGAGCATCTGCTATGTGTCAGGCACAGTACCAGGCATGAGGGATTCAAGGCTGAACAAGACACATAAATGCCCCTTGAGTGAGACACACAAAAGGGATGTATTGTCTAGTAGGGAGCTGAGACAAACAGTTAACACAAATAATTACTTAGTGTGGCTCGTGCTGTGAAAGATGTACAGGGTCTCTAGCTGGGAGGGTCTACCTTAGCCTGGGAGTTCTCTCTTCTCTCCAGGTGGGTCACAAGGGGACTCTCCTGGACCCACTCTCTGAGAAGCCCCCCAGCTCACCCTGGCCCTGTCTGAGGCCTCAGTTCCTGGGTCCCAAGCTCCGGAGGCTGCTCCTCTGATGCTGCTGTGTGTCCAGGCTCCTTCTCTGGACCTTCTGGAGCTGATGAGGGCTGCTTCCCACCACCCATTTCTGGAGCATCTGGAAACACAGCCTGGAACAGAGACGCCCATTTGCTGGCTTAAGGGCCAGTCCCTTGGACCCATTCTTCAGGGATCCTCCACACCTCCTTGGGCAACCTCCTGGTCTCAGGCATGGGGAGACCCTGCCCCTGACTGGGTTAGGGGAAAGGTGTTGGAGAGAGGTGATGATGAGCCAAGGAGCAGGGAGAGAGAGGCTGGGGTGCGGGGTCTGGCCCAGCTGCGAACCTGTCGGTCAGCACTGGAAGCTCTGGCAGGAACTTGGGGTCCAGATCAGCACCTGAGTGGAGGGGATAGCCCTGAGAGCATATTGAGAGAGCATTCTGGGGGAGCTCAAAACACCTGCAGGGAGACTCAATGGGCAGCTCCTGTCTGGAGGCGAGATGAGAAGGCAGAGAGGGTCAGGAGCTGGTTGAATGGACACAGGAAATCCAGGGTGGAAAGGAAGAGTGTGCTGTCACAGTATAGGGAGAGCAACTAGGGTCACATAACAATGTATGTAAAATTTTTTGTATGAGACACTAACTTGAATTGTAAACTTTCACTTAAAGCACAACAATAAAAAAATAAAAATAAAATAAAAAAGCCTTTGCAGGGCCAAGAGAGGCCTTTCACAAATTCCACCACTTCAGAGCACAGGCTCTGGAACTGGGTTTCCAATCCCATCTTTGTCTATCACTCTCCAGGTGGGTGACCTTGAGCCAGCTTCAAGTCTCATCTGAGTCTGCAAACCCTAGATCACTGGCTCAATTCATTGATAATAATAGTTATAATAAAAGATTATGATGCAAACCAACTCTGAAAGGGCATCTACCTTGAGGCAAGGCCTGTGCCGGGTACATTCCAGGGATCACCCCAGCTAGTCCTCACCATGACACCAATGAGGCTGAAAGGGGTGCAGCAACATGTCCAAGGTCATACAGCAGGTTAAGTGGCAGAACTGAAACCCTACAACTATGTTTATTGAACAAATGAATGGGTGGGTGAAGGAAGCCCTGAATATTTGCCTCAACCACTTCCCAAGACTCCTCCCCCCAGGCTCTCATTCTGCCCCCATGGGAAGCCATGATCTATACCAGAGGCTACATGGAGAGGGCAATACTTAACCCAAGAAATGTTGACTTTTTTATGGTAGCACTTTTGGCCCTGGGGAAACTGTGTGAGGAGGAAGAGTCTTCCCTGTGGGCTTCCTTTCATGTTACTTGGCACTTATGAAAAGACACGTATTTGACGGAAAAGAGGCTGAGGGTTGTGTTGGAAGCTTGGGATGCAGGGAGGGGCTTGGGGAGTGGAAGGGTGGATGGGAGCCTTGAGCATCAGTCTGAGGGAATAAACATTATGATGGGGGCTGGAGGCCATGAAGATGACCTAGTAGGGTAAGTCATTTCTGTAATGTTCTCAATTCTTGTTTTGCTCACCAGCATCTCTTCTGGTAACAGAAGCCAGCATTCTTTTTGTGGGATTCTTCCCTTCTCCATCCAGTCATGGGGCTCATTAGGGCTGATGGAGCATCAGCTCTGACTCCAGTGTGCCAGGAGATCCAGGCCACTCCCCACCCCACCATGGTGACTGGTTCAGGGATGAGCATGTTACCACAATCTGGCCCAATGACAGTAGTGCCAGAGACCTGATTCATCTATTGCAAAGAGGCTATCTTCCTCTGCATATGCTAAGACGAAGGATGTAAGACAGAAAGATGTGAGCCTGAGTGGCCAGGGCCATCCTTGCTATCTTGTAGGGAGAGCCTGCCAGAGAATGAAGCCAACACAGAGGAAGGCTGAACCAAGAGATATTCATTTAGCACCTTGATCCAACCATACCTGAAGTCTACAGCTAGATGTGTCAGTTACCCAAGCTGTTTATTTTCATTCCTGCTTAATCCAGTTGAATTGGGTTTTGTAGCTGAAAGAATCATAGTTAAAGCAGTATGGGAGGAGGTCCAGGCAGAAGAGGGAAATGCTGCCAGCTAGGAGGGAAGGGGTCAGAACACAAGGTGTAGGTCCCTACCTGGCTGACTCCTGATCTGGTGGGCCCAACACCAGCCCTCTTGCTGGTGGTCCTAAGGTCAGGACTTGGCTGGGCCCCTGGAGCTTCGATCCTACCCTCCGTGTATGCCTGGGCATTTCTGTCTTCCATCATGCCAAGGCCAACGAGGGTACCAAGAGAGGGGGCATCAGCCACTGTGCTTCTGCAGGAGAACTTCAATCAAGTTTCCATGAATGCCATTACTTAACACTGCTTCAGCAGCCCACAGGGAGCCTGTAACATAGAGAGCATTGCTTAGTAAGGAACAGGGGCCAGGCCAGGCCCAAAAGGGGCATGCAGCAAAACCAGAGAGCTAATCTCATGCACTTTAATCATGCATTTTTCCTAATTCTCACAGCAGCCCTGAGAAAAGGAAGTCCAAGATCCAAAACCTACTAGGTCGCTGAACAGGATTTGAACCCTGGCCAGTTGGGTCTCCACACCCATGCACTTGCCCCTACAGCAGCATTTCCTAAAAGTTGTTCTCTGGAATATTGATCCCACAAGGTAGTACACACACACACACACACACACAGACTCCCAAGACTGCTTATTTCACAACATCAAATTGCCTTCAGAGAAGTTTCAGAGATTCATTCATTCACCCATGCACTTGACAAATGTTTACTGAGTGTGTGTGTTATGTATGTTTCTGTAATGTTCTCAAATCACATATGTATAAGGTACTGTTATGTTTGCCTTTGTAATGCTCTTAAACCACATATGTATAAGTCACTTATAATGTGAAGTCAGAAGTAGAAAATTTCTGAATTCAGAAATAGAAAAATAGATGTATGTGAAATATGTGAGGTACATTGTCAACAATCTCTCTAAATTGACTGTGCACCTCCATGCTGTGATAAAGAAAATGTAACATAGTTAAATCTCTGTGAGGTGGCTTTGAGACATTAAATCATAAACAAGACCTTAATCCCTAATCTTTTTTTTTTTTCCCCCTGGTGCTACAGTCAACGGACTACCCACCTGGAATGACAAGGTTAATCCCTAATCTTGAAGAAAAAATCCTGTATGCGGCTAATCTCTGACATTACAGAAAAAATGTAACACATTACTCTTTGTTAAACATTACATCATCTGGCCCTGATCATGTAAAGCCAAGGTGAGAAAATCATACATAAATCATGAACTTCAGCACATCCACTGAGAGGAAGCAGTGGCAGACTTTGCCTGTTGCCGCTGTCTTTGGACCCCAGCTACAAGGGACCTCCACCTAGCACAAGCCATTAAAGATAAAAGCCCAGAATCTAAAGATTTGAACTCTAACCATCTGACTAATCTTATACTGTCATTATTCTCTGGCCCTAGCTGAATATCTTATGTTCTCACCTGTGTGCCTTGTCCTGACCACCTTGCAAAAAACTAAATGAGTTTATGCGTGATAAACTTGAACATTTCTTTACTTATTTTAAAATTAAATCCCACAGGGCAATGTGCGCATGTCAGGTACAATGTCAGGCCTTGGAGACACATGGGGTGTTCCAATGGCTCTCCCAATTTACCAGGGGCATAGAGGAGGTTCCCCTAAGAGTTGCTGTACCAAATACCTTCCTCCTCCTTTTCCCCCAAACTTGCCTATTCTGCAGGCCCTTCCAACAGAGCTGCAGCCCCAGAGGCAAACAAGACCTGGGGTCCCAGGTGAGCTCCTACCCAGGGTTTTGGACCAGTTCCTTCCAGTTTGAACCCTTGCTGAGAATTTATATTTCCACCCCAGATACACTGAATCAGAATCTACGTTTTAGCAAGATCCCCAGGTGATTCTTAGGGCTTTTTTTTTTTTTTTTTTTTTGAGAACTGCTCTACTAGTGGTTCTCAGAATTGGTCCCTAACCAGCAGCATTAGCATTGGGAACTTGTAAGAAATGCAGATTCTCAGCAGGGGTTTGAAGCCCTGCCCCCACCCTAGGCACAGCTCCAGCCCCCAAAAGACCCCAACTCTCACTCGGCATGGAGAAGTTAGTGCTGTTGCCGAGTCCCTCTCTCTTCCCTTGGCGTTCCCCTCCTCCCTACTTTTCTGCCATTCGATTTCCTTAAGCATTCCCCTATCTTCTGAGTCGTCCTGCCCCAGCGGCAGATGACCCATCTGGGGAAAATCTCCTACCAGAACCCTCAAACACGCCCCCCATTGTCCACTGTCTTCACCTCAGCAGCTCAGTCTCCACCTCAGAATTCTTAGGCTCCAATATTCCACAACCTAAAGTTTTAAAGGGATGGAGACCCCAGAGCGTATCCAGCCACCCATCAGTCCCCATGTGGAGCTGGTTAACTAAGAATCTGGACCAGAAGGGGAAGCCCCAACCCTAGAAGAGGAGCATGGACTTAGAGGACAGAGTAGAGCTTGACAAACATAGACTATGTCCCCCTTTCAGAGCACTGGGTGCCCTCTTTTTTAACAGATTTATTGAGATATAATTCATTTACCATACAATTCACCCATTAGAAGTATATAGTTCAATGTCTTATAGTATACTCATAGAGTTGAGCAATCATCATCACAATCAACTTTAGAACATTTTCATTACCCTAAAAAGACACCCTATACCCTTTAGCCATTACCCCCTCAATCCCGCCATCCCACTCCCAACCCTAGGCAACCACTTATCTACTTTCTGTCTCTATAGATTTGCCTCTTCTGGATGGAATCTTACAATATGTTGTCTTTCATGTCTGGCTTCTTTCACTCAGCATAATGTTTACAAGGTTCACCCATGCTGTAGCATGTATCAGAACTTCATTCCTCGTTATGGTTAAATAATTTTCCATTGTGCTTTTACGTCATCTTTTGTTTATCCATTCATCCGTGCATGGACATTCGGGTTTTTCCATTTTTGGCTATCATGAACAATGTTTCTATGAACATGCAAGTGCAATTTTTGTGTGGACATATATTCTCGTTTCTCTTGGGTATATTCCACTCGTAGGTAAGAGTGGAATTGCTGGGTCATACGGCAACTCTGTGTACTGTGCCAGGTATAATGCCAGACTTTTCCAAAATGGCTGCACCATTTTACATTCCTACCAGCAGTGTATTAGAGTTCCAATTTCTTTACATCTTCACCAAGACTTGTTTTACCTGTCTTTTTGATTCTAGCCATCATAGTGGGTGTGAAGTGGTATCTCATTGTGATTTTGATTTGCATTTCCCTGATGGCTAATGATGTTGAACATCTTTTCACAGGCTTATTGGCCTTTTGTATATCTTCTTTTGAGAAATGTCTATTCAAAACCCAAATGTCCATCAATTCTTTGCTCATTTTTAAATTGGCTTATTTGTTTTTTTATTACTGAGTTGTAAAATGCTTTATATATTCTGGGTACAAGTCTTATCAGATACATGATTTGCAATATTTTTCTCTCTTTCTGTGGATTGTCTTTTCACTTTCTTCCTTTTTTTGTTTTCTTTTTGTGAAAATCTACACAACAAAAATACACCAATTCAACAACTTCTAGATGTACAATTCAGTGACACTGATCAGATTCTTCAAGTTGTGCCACCTCTCTCAATATTCTTTTCCAAATTACTTCACTATCATTAACATAAACTCACTGCTCCTTAAGCTTCTCATCTAACCTTTCAAGTTGCTGTTGTCAATTTGATCACATATAGATAATTCTTTAAAAGGGCACAATATTCAAGGAAAACATTCTTTACTAATTAAGCTAAACTACTGTTTGGTTTACAGCTGACTCCAGGGAATAGTTTCAATTTAGGTTTAAAGATTTCATCTGGGCAATAGTTTCAAGGATCTTTTCACTTTCTTGTCCTTTGAAGCACCAGAGTTTTTAACTTTGATGAAATCTATCTTTTTTTTTTTTCTTTTGTTACTTGTGCTTTTAGTGTCAGGTCTAAGAAACCACTGCCAATCCAAGGTCATAAAGATTAATACCTGTATTTTCTTGTAAGAGTTTTATAGTTTTAGCTCTTACATTTAGGTCCATGATGCATTTTGAGTTAATTTTTGTATATGGTGTGAGGTAGTGATCTAACTTCATTCTTTCGCATGTGGCTACCGAGTTGTCAAGGAGCCCTAGTGGTGCAGTGGTTAAGCATTCGGCTGCTAACCGAAGGGTTGGTTTGAACCCACCAGCCACTCCATGGGAGAAAGATGTGGCAGTCTGCTCCCATAAAGATTACAGCCTTGGAAACCCTATGGGGAAGTTCTCCTCTGTCCTATAGGGTCACTATGAGTCGGAACTGACTTGAAGGCAATGGGTTTACCCAGTTGTCCTGGCACCATTTGTTGAAGACTCTTCTTTCCCCCATTGAATTGTCTTGCACTCTTTTCCTTGTGGAAAGTCAGTTGACCATAAACGAGGATTTGCTTCTGGGTTCTCAATTATATTACACTGATCTATATGTCTATTCTTACGTCAGCTATCACACTGTCTTGCTTCCTGTATCTTTGTAGTAATCAGGAAGTGTGAGTCCTCCAACTTTGTTCTTGTTTTTCAAGATTGTTTTGGCAGTAAAAATCCTTTTATAAGGGGTTTCCCCCTCTGAGAAATGGGGGACATTTCTCAAAGATGGGAATGTCTATGATGTTAGGAAAATACAAGAGACAAAGATGCTAAGCGACCTATAAAATATAATTTAGGAGGCCACCAAGGAAAGCCTCATATCAAACCCCCCACCTTGGTCTTGGACCTACCAGAAAGCAACTGGCTGAATCACAGTGAGATGTTACATCCCTGCTTACCTCCTCACACATAGTTTGGCTCTATCTGAGCATATACTCTGCCTGTTGGATTGAATTGAATCCATTTGCTACATAATACAGCTAAACTGGGATTAGATGGTAAATTCAATTATTCACAGCAGCAGATGGTTTAGGAGTGCTTTTCAGAAATGCCCAGCCATGTGACCAGCATTTGAGAATAGGTCGGAGGACTGTCTGGCTCCAGGGCAGTATAGTTTCCTCAGCTTTGTCACTGTTTCAGTGGCCTCCACAATGAGTATAACAATCCTGCCCTGCCTACCTTCCAGGGGTTACTGTGTCAAAGTAAGCTCTTCCAGACAGCCTTCCCTGACTGCCCTCAGGCTGAATGAGGTCACTCTTCTCTTTGCTCCCACAGCCCCCTGTGAATCTCCTCCATCACAGCACCTTTCACTCTGTAGTGTAAATGACTGTTTTCTTCTCTGTCTTCTCTAATCTCTGAGCTCCATGGAAGCAGAAGCTAACTTGGCCTCCTCTCAGCGACCCCATTACCTGGCATACGGTAGGTGTTCTATGCTTGTCGTTATTAGACTGAACTGAGTTGAAAGTGTTCTGAACACATTTTAACACCTGTCTGCCCTCAAGCCTGGGCCTGGTACAGTGTAATGATTCCCTCTGGTGCCCATGACAAGGAAGATATCTCACCTGTCACAGCTGCATGCAATGGCCCAAAATAGTCACCGTGGCCCGCCTTCATGCTGATTGTCTTCCAGAATGGAAGTGATGGAACTCATGCTGAGAGGAGACACTATCCCAAAGTTCAGTCCCTGAGAACTGGTTCTACATGCTCTCCCAGCTGGAAGTTTTTCTGACTCAGTGGGTTCATGTGCTTTACCTCTGGTATACTCTATTTCCCCCATGTTTGTTTACCACACACTGGGACAGGAGTCAGAGGGTAAGAGAGAAAATGGTGGCTCACTCCCAAATAGCCACTTCGCTTTGGTATGTAGCAAGTTAAACACATACGCACACACATTCATTCATTCATTCCTTTGCTGAGCACTTATTTTGTGCTAGGTCCGATGCTGTGGAATACAGGTGTCAAAGGTGAGTGGGAAATGGTCCTTCCCTCAAGAAGTTCACAATCTAGTAGGAGAGAAGACATAAACAGAGTAATGAGAATGTGAGGGGATAAAATTGCCAGTGTGGAAATGTACCCTTCCCTTCCCTCCCAAGATCTCTCCTCCTTCACTCTCTAAGGGGAGTTCTGTCTTTGCCACTCCAAGACCTTAGGAAATATAAGACAGGACCTGCAGTGCAGTGGTTTCTCTTTATATATGGCCTTTCTGGCCTTGGGTTTATAATTCTGCTAAAAATAATTGCTTGAGCCACCGCCTGCCCTGTGATTGGTCTATTTTATGCACCTTGCAGGGATTAGCCAGTTTACTATACAAATAGGGTGCATAAAACCACCTAATAAGGATTAAATGACCTTGCAGGGATTGATCGGTTTGTGGCCATGCCTTGCAATTAAGGAGCTTGCTTATATAAGGGCCAATCCCACAAGGGGTTGGGGGGAAGTTCTCAATACCATCAAGAAGTGTCTGGAGCAGAGCATGTCCTTTGGACCTGAGGTGCCTGTGCTGAGGACCTTCAAGACCCAGGAGAAAGACAGGCAATGGGAGAGAAGGAACCTCCTAAAAGAGTTGTAATATGGGTCAGGAGCTGTAACATTGAAGGTGGTGTGAGACAGGCGTGAGATGGTACAATACGGCAGCAGCAGTACGAGTGGTGGGAACCACGGGACCAGTAGATGGCTGCAGTGGTACTTGCCAACACAGAGGGAGAGAGCGAGAGCTGAATGCCTTCTGGCAGGGGCTTGCTGGCAGAACAGGGTGCCTCCAGGCACTTGTCCTTGGAGCCAAAAGAACTGTAACACTTGCTGGAGCAGGGCAGAGGCCTGGGAAGGCCCAGCAGCAGAGGCAAGGCCCAGCAAGGCCCAACAGCCAAGAGAAGCGCCACCAGCTGGCACGACCAAGAGAAGAAGCTGAGAGAGCTGTCTTGGTTGGAAGCTGTGCTGATTAACAAACTGTATCCTATCTCCTGAGTTGTATCCTGTTACTTCCAAGCTGATCCTGACCCCGAGGTGTAGCCTGTTACTTCCCTAGTAAACCACAGAATCATGAGTATGGTCTGTGAGTTCTGTGTGGCTATTAAAATGAATTATCGAACCCAGCAGAGAAGTAGGAAGTGCCATGGGTGGGGACAGCTAGCACTAAAAATGGTGAGATTTCAACCTCATAGAAACCAGCTTTGTACTGATCCTGATTTTCATTCTTCTTCCTGAATTTAGACACGCTCTGATGCTAGATTACAGGACAACAAAACTAGGGGGATTAATTCCAGTATTCTGGGTCATTTCTCAGTTTCTTCCTTGTTATGGAGAATCAGGGTAACGAGCAAAGCTGAAAGAAAAGGTTAAAACAATTCATATAATGAAGAGCTTACACAGAGTGAGTAAAAAGGGAAGGGAGAGGTAGGGACCGGAGAGAGTTTGGGAGCATTCCGTGAACCAGAGATTTGAGATCAGCTGTGGCCCGCACAAGGAGCCCTGGTAGTGCAGTGGTTAAGCGCTCGGCTGCTAACCAAAAGGTCAGCAGTTCGAACCTACCAGCCGTTCAGCAGGAGAAAGATGGGGCAATTGACTTCCGTAAAGATTACAGCCTAGGAAAGCCTATGGGGCAGTTCTGCTCTGCCCTGTAGGGTCGTTGTGTGTTGGAATCAACCTGATTGCAATGGGTTTTGGTGGCCCACACAGTGCCTGACATATTGTTGGCACTCAATAAATATTTACGGGATGAATGAGAGAGTGGGAGGAGGAGAAGGTATTTTGAGAATTTGACTATAGTTAGACATCGTCATTACCAAAAAAAACCCACTGCTGTTGAGTCATTCCAAATCAAAGTGACCCTATAGGACAGAGTAGAACTGCCCCACAGGGTTTCCAAGGTTGTAATCTTCATGGAAGCCGACTGCTACATCTTTCTCTGGCAGAGCAGCTGGTGGGTTCCAACTACCAATCTTGTTTTTTTTTTTTTTTTTGGTTAGTAGCTGAGTGCTTTAACCACTGCACCACCAGGGCCTCCTTAGACATTGTCATTCCAAAGCCCAAACCACACCCGTTGCCGTGGAGTCAATTCCAACTCATAGCAACCCTATAGGACAGAGTAGAACTGCCCTAGAGGGTTTCCAAGAAGCGACTGATGGATTCGAACTGTCCACATTTTGGTTGGCAGCTGTAGCTCTTAACTACTGCACATTAGTCTGTAAGAAATCTAAATTAAGACTGGAATTCTTTTTTAATGACTTACGTTGCTACACTTTACTTCTTTAAATGCAACTGCTTGTTGAGCCTGGGCCACACGGGGACCTGGGCATATAGGCAGGTTATGATAGGGAGGGTACCATACTGGGTAGGGACATCCCACTTAGCTTGGTGGCTCAGGTAAGAATTCTTTAGGAGGAGAAGACCCAGTCAAGTTTTACAGATTCAGGAGAAGGGAGGACATTCAGGCAGAGAAAGGGCCGAGGCAAAGGCTGGAGGAGGGAGATGCTGCACTGTGAGGTGTGTGGAGGGGCTACAGCTTTGAAAGTCAGCCAACCGGGGGCCCCAGGTGTAAGAGTGAGGCGAGCAAGATGATCCACAAACCAGACCACCGATTGTGGCGAAGGTCAAGCCAGCACCTGGGATCCGTCCGCCGCTTGTCTTGAGCCAGAGCCTCCAGCAGAGGGCGCGCAGGCGATGTTGCGATAACGCCCGCGAGCCGCCACTCTAGCCAGAGCCTGGTCACAGAGTCGCGCCGCTTCCGGCCCCGCGGCGGGGAAGAAGTCGGAAGTCTGGTGGGTTCTGGGCGTCGAGATGGAGGAGAGCGAATACGAGTCGGTTCTGTGTGTCAAGCCGGAGGTTCATGTCTACCGCATCCCGCCGCGGGCCACCAACCGTGGCTACAGGTGACCGTCTGCCGCCAGGCCGGGCTAGCCCTGACTTAATCCCTTCCCCGCCGCCACGACACACCCACTGCGGGAACCGTGGATGGATCCCGACCAGTTTAAGGGCGAAAGGGGAGACAGTATTGGAGCTTCTTCCAGTTCAAGGCCGGAGCAGGGAGGGAGACCCAGACTTTCGGCCGTCTCATGCCGACGCCCTGGCCTCCCGGCGGCGGGAAAGGCATTAAAGCTGTGTCTGGTGCTTGGGGACCCCGGTGGGCTGTCAGGTACCCTAAGCTTGGTGGGGGAGGGGAGGAGGTGGTGTCACAGACTTTGTCTTTCTGCGCTGAGCGATGGCTTTGAAGGGATCCTTGAAAAGCCTTAAAAGAGGAAGGGATCCTATCACAGGCGGAAATTCCCGAAGGGAAGGGAGGGAGTTCAGAACCAGCCAAAAGGACTCGTCCTGGGGAGCTTTAAGCTGATGGCTGAACCCCGGGGACCCCTCCCTGCCCAGCTCCCTATGCCCTAATTTCATCCCTGATCACCATCTGTAGGAGGTAGAGAGAAATCCAACCGCTCTGCTCTGGTGAAATTTCGCTTGAGACGAGTAAACACACGTGCTCCTACGTGTATAGACTGTCTCTGGAGGGGAACTCAGGAGACTGCCAGAGGGGAAAGGTAGGGGAGGGAAACGGGATTGTAAGGAGACTTCTGTTCATCCTGTACCCTTTTGTTCTGTTTGCATTTTATTGCCATATGTATGTATTACCTATCGAAAGAAAATGGAAAATTTATTAAAACAAAAAAAGATACACCTGATACAGACAACCTAGCCTATGGCTATTCTGTGCCACTAGGTGGTGGTGTGGGGGATGCTAATAATTTTGGTGGTGGGCAACATTGATGGCAGTGTTTGTCCAAGTAATTTAGAAATACAAGATTGGCCTGCACCGCAATAACGAGGGAGTGTCCCCATTTCTGATCTCTTGTTAGGGCTGCTACATCTATGACATAATTTAAAAATAGTATGAAAATAACAATAGTAACAACAACTAAAACACATTTGCTTCTTATACATCCTGGAGGTAATGCTGATGCCCTGGAATATCATCAGACTGGAAATGGGCCTGCAAACCAGGGATAATCATCTACCCCATCCCCCACTGGGTCTTCAGTAGGATTGGTTGGGACCCTCTTGGTCTCCAGAGACCAAGCAAGGGCCAAGGCTGTCTGGTATGGCATAGAGGAAACTGCCAGCTTCTGCATTTCAACCTCAGCTCTGCCCAGCCTGAATCTAAGGCCTGTTGCCCCAGTAAGAGGAACTGAAACTCAGTTTGCTGAACTGTGATTTGAGAGTTTGCATTGTGTCTCTCAAAACAACCTGTGTCTGCAGTTAGAGTGTCTCATGGGAGTTCTTGAGAGCTGGCACGTGCTTAGGAATTTCCAAGAAAAGCCTGCTGGAAACACCCAAGGATCTTGTTGTTTGGAGGTTTTATCAAGCTCCTTCTTAGAACTAAAATGTGAAGTTCTTTAAAAGAGGCAATTGCTGTAAGTCCATGGTTTTCTGGGTTTCTTTCTGCCAAGGATACCTTTGAGAATGTATTTCTTGAGCACTCATTCACTTTTCTCATGCGTACTGTTGCTCTCCTTTTCCCATTATTGATTGCTCCCCTCTGCTTTTCCTCCAAGATGGTCTCAGTGGTCCCAAGTGGTTGCTCTGACCACCGCAGCCTAGCAGTGTCTTAGAGCAGAAACAATAGGCCCCAGGAGCTGCTTCCGTACGGAAGGGAAACTGGAAGTCCCATTTCAGAGAGACGGTCTCTATCATCTAGAACAGGGGTCGGCAAATGAGAACCCACTGTGTTTTTGTATGGGCCGCAAGCTAAGAATGGCTTTTACATTTTTAAATGGTTGAACAAGATTTAAGAGAATATTTCATGATGTGAAAATTATCTGAAATTCAAATTTCACCACCCAGAAAGTTTGCTTGTTTCATTTTTTGCCCATCAAGTTTTACTGAAATATGCTGAGTAGAAAATATTTGGTTAAAATACTCAAAGCACCAACTTGTTCACATATTATCTGTGACTGCTTTCGCTCTACAGCACAATAGCAGAGTCAAGTAGTAGCGACAGAAACTGTATGGCCCTTAAAAGCCAAAAAGATTTACTTTCTGGCCCTTTACAGAAAAAATTTGCCCACCCCTGGCCTAGAACTAGCAGCCCACATGCCCTTCCCATTCTTATCCCTGGCAAGGGAGTAAGGGAGCAGGAACCTCTGGTGGCGGCTCAGTGATTTTTGTCCCCTTAGGGCCGCGGAGTGGCAGCTGGACCAGCCATCATGGAGTGGCCGGCTGCGAATCACAGCGAAAGGGCAGGTGGCCTACATCAAGCTGGAGGACAGGACCTCAGGTAAAGGCAAGGGAGGCCTGCGGGGGGCTGAGGTGCCACATCTCCCACTTTATTAAGGGAGAGGCAGCCAGGGCCTGGCTAGGCCACTCGGGTCATGGGAGCCTGTTCTGGAAGTCACAGACCGGAGTATATGTCTAAGCTGCCCCTACCTTCATTGTAGAAACCACTATCCCCAGGTGTAAAAGGGAGTGTTTTCTGTCAAGAAGCACCCATTCCTTTTGGAGTCCTTAGGAAAATACTAGTTTTAGAGGCCAAGGAGAGGACACCTGCAGATTGATCCCAAGTAGGAAGCCCTGGAGCTTACCTTGAAGACTGAGTGAAGTTGCATAGTCCCCTGCTGCTGAGCCCTGGTTCTTACTCAGGAATTCTGTTTCTCTGCTAATGGTAGCTCCCCAGATCTGACCACACCCGCTAACTGAAAGAGCTGGAAATCCTCCTAGTTGTCTCTTTTCTCTGGTAAGAGGACAAGCAAATCTGGGCTCTGTTGGGATCAGCTGGCAGATGTCACCTTTAGGGAAATATTTCCAGAAGTCCTGCATCACCAGCGCCTCTGGGTGCGCTGTGAGGATGACACTGCCAGGAGCAGTCCCAGCCCTGGGACCTGGGGCAGGGGTCATGCACAGTGCCTGCTCAGTTTCGTCCCATGGCATTCGATCATAAATTTTTTTAATATATAAAGGTGTTTCCTTTGTGAGGCAGAAGAAAGGTGCAGGGATTTAGAGGCAGAACTGGCTGTCTCGTCTCAGAACTGTGCCACTTCTGATTGAGCTGTGGGACCTTGGCCTCCTTTTTGTTGTAATGGAGAGCACATTCCTCCTCCCCAAGGCTGTTGGAAATGTTAAATGAGCAGATATTTGTTGAATTGCTTTGTGAACTGCAAGGTGACCCAAAACGTTGGTTTTGTTCGTCTGAAACATGGGGTTAGCAGAGTGAGTACTGGCTGCTGAGGAGTTTGAAGAGGCAGCTGCCATGGCTGGGACAGAACTCTGGCTGTGAGAATTGCCTGTATCACAAGGGAATGGCAACACCTGTTCTCTGGAAACCTTGGGAACTATGACTTTAACATGACCACCTAATGTCACAGCCACTGCTCAGGGCTGAGTCTCGCCTGCAGGGCCCACCCTAATATGCTCTTATCTCGGGGTCATGCCTGCTAAGTCATACTCGGCTCTCGCTTTCTTTTTTTTTTAATTATACTTTAGATGAAGGTTTACAGAATAAACAATTAGTACACATATTGTTTTATGACATTGGTTAATAACCCCATGACATGTCAGTACTCTCCCTTCTTGACCTGGGGTTCCCAATTACCAGCTTTCCTGTCCCCTCTTGCCTTCTAGTCCTTGCCCCTGGGTTGGTGTGCCCTTTTGGTCTTGTTTTGTCCTGTGGGTCTGTCTAATCTTTGGCTAAAAGGTGAACCTCGGGAGTCACTTCATTACTGAGCTAAAAGGGTGTCTGGGGGCCATACTCTCAGAGTTTCTCCAGTCTCTGTCAGGCCAGTAAGTCTGGTCTTTTTTTGAGTTAGAATTTTTATCTACATTTTTCTCCAGCTCTGTCTGGGACCCTCTGTTGTGATCCCTGTCAGAGCAGTCAGTGGTGGTAGCCAGGCACCATCTAGTTGTACTGGACTCAGTCTGGTGGAGGCCGTGGTAGTTGTCTGTTAGTCCTTTGGACTAATCTTTCCCTTGTGTGTTTAGTTTTCTTCATTTTCCCTTGCTCCTGAAGGGTCAGCTCTCGCTTTGCATTGAGATAATGGGTACATCACTCTAGGCCAGGGTTTCTCAGCTTCGGCACTGTTGACATTTGGGGCCAGAGGAGTTTTTGTTGTGGTGGCTGTCCTGTGCTTTGAGGCATCCCTGGCCTCAACCCACTAGATGCCAGTAGCACTCCCCCAAGTTGTGACAACCAAAAATGTCACCAGACATTGCCAAATGTCCCAGAGAGGGAGGGGGAGTGAAATCGTCCCTGGTGGAGAACCACTACTCCAGGCTGAAGACAGCCGGGGAGTCAGGGCCCCTGGGCACCAAACTGGTGGCAGGCTCTAGCCTGTCGGTTTTGATTCAGTTCAGCTTGACTTCACAGTTACCTTTCAGCCACAGGGCCCAGTAGAAAATATTTGGTTAAACACTTACAGTACTAACAGAGGTCAGCACGTGGGAAAATGGTACCAGTCACAGAAGCTCCCTGTCTTAGTTATCTAGTGCTGCTATAACAGAAATACCAAAGGTGAATGGCTTTGACAAAGAGAAATTTATTCTCTCACAGTTTAGGAGGCTAGAAGTCCAAATTCAGGGTGCCAGCTCTAGGGGAAGGCTTTCTCTCTCTTCCAGCTCTAGGGCAAGGTCCTTCTCATCAATCTTCCTCGGTCTGGGAGCTTCTCTGAGCAGGAACCCCTGGTCCAAAGGACGCGCTCTGCTCCCATGCTGCTTTCTTGGTGGCATGAGGTCCCGTCTCTGCTTGCTTCTCTCTTTTATATCTCAAAAGAGATTGAGTTAAGACACAACCTAATGTTGTAGATTGAGTCCTGCCTTATTAACATAACTGCTATTAATCCCACCTCATTAACATCATAGAGATAGGATTTACAACACATGGAAAATCACATCAGATGGCAAAATGGTGGACAGTCACACAATACTGAAAATCATGGCCCAGCCAGGTTGACGCACATTTTGGGGGGACACAATTCAATCCATAACATTCTACCGTTTGGCCCCCCAAAATTCATGTCCTTGCCATATTTAAAACATATTCACCCCATCATATCATAGCAAAAGTCTTAAATCAACTCCAAGTCCAAAATCCAAAAATTTCTCTTCATCTGTGAAATCTAGAATACAAAGTTATCTGCTTCCAAAGTACAGTGGTGCAACAGCCACAGACTAGACATTTCCATTAAAATGAGAGAGATTGGAGGGAAAGAAGGGATAACAGCTACGAGGCAAGTCAGCAGAACACATTACATTAGCCCGCAAGGCTTTGAATATAATCCTGTTCTCTGAGACAGTTTACACAGTAGCCCTGCCCTCCAGACTCTAGGTATTGGCCACAGTCTCTGGATTTTGAGTGGAGGCCCCTCGGCCCTGGGCTTCAGCTCGACCTTCCAGGCCCACTGGGACAGCAACTCTGCTCCCTCTGCTTTAGGTGCACCATTCTCCTAGTCCATCTGAGTGGTGACTCCACCCTTTGAGACCCCAGAGGTCATGGCCATACCCTTTGAGACTGAGGCAGCTCTGCTTCCTGTTTTCCTTGTCTCTTCAGCTTCTGCTTCCTGGTTTCTTGGCCTCTCGGCTCCTCAGGCCTCAAAGCTCTGTAGCTCCACCAATAAGTGCTTGGAGGCACCTCACTCTGCCAGTAAACTTCAACTGAAAGGCACTCAACTCTCTTGCTCCTTGGGTGAACAAACCTAGCTCCACTGACAGGTGCTCAGAGGCACCCCACTCTGCCAGGAAGCCTCCTGCGCAAAGGCACTCAGCTCTCTTGCTCAATGGGTCAGCTCCAGTGCTGTCTCATGCTGGTCTCCTGGTTCTGCTGCTGCCGGTTCTTTGCTTCTGCTTCTGGCTGCTTGCCCTGTCTCCAGTGTAACAGCTCTCCTCACTTCCTTCAGTGTCTTCACCAGAGTTGTCTTTGATGTCCATAATTCTACCAACAATCTCTTCAAGGCAATGTAGGCTTTTACTATTAGGCACTTCAAAATTCTTCTAGTCTCTATTTATTCAGTTTCAAAACTGCTTTCACATTTTAGGTATCTGTTACAGCAGCACCCTACTCTCAGTACCAAATTCTTAGGCTGGATTCTCTAGAGAAGCAAAACCAGTAAAGTGCATAAATATATCTATAGAGAGAGGTTTATATCAAGGAAATGGCTCATGCAGTTGTAGAGGCTACAATGTCCGAAGTCCGTGGGTCAGGATAGAGGTGTCTCCTGATTCATGGAGCCGCAGAGCTTGGTGAACCCAAGATCCGGAGGTCAGAGAGCCTGACGCTTGCTCACAGGCTGCAAAGATCGATGAATCCCAAGATCGGCAGGCAAGACTGCAAGTAAGCTGCTAGCTCAAATCCTGAGATCTGGAGGTCAGACAAACAGGGACCAGCTACAGAATTCAGAGTGAGCAAAAGCCCATGAGCCTTACCAGAATGTCTGCTTATATTCAACGCAGGCCGCATGCCCAAAACTCCCTTTCAACTGATTGGCTGTTCACAACAGATCCCATCATGGGGGTGATCACATTGTATCAAATCTCATCACGGAAGTGATCACAACATCGTACGATTGCCAAACCACTGAGAATCGTGGCCCAGCCAAGTTGACAGATAACCTTAACCACTTAACCATCACATTCACCAAGAGTGTGCTGCACTGTACCATGGAGAGCAGTAGTTGACGAGACGCTCCTGTAAAACCAGTCTTTTCCCCTTCTCCAAGATGGAATTAAATTAGTATGCTTTAGATTTTCCTATGGATGGGCAAACTTCCTTCTGTCTGCTGGGCTCAGCAGTACTTCCTAGAGCCCCGCCTCAGATCTCAGGCCTTTCTTGAAGATATGATTTACCTAACCAGGGCTTGCCTGCCTCAGGGCCCTATAAGGGTTCAGGTAGGTAATGTACGTGGTTGAAGCAGACGGAATATATATATAGAAATGTGTGTATGTGTGTATGTATGTATGTATGTTATAGATTGAATTGTGTTCCCCAAAAATTTGTGTTGTAAATTCTAACCTCTATGCCTGTGGTTATAAACCCATTTAGCAATGGGTTGTCTTTGTTATGTTAATGAGGGAGGATTAGTGTATGGTATATCTTGAGTCAGTCTCTCTTGAGATATAAAAGAGATTAAACAAGCGAGAAAAGCAGAGATGAGGGAAGAAAGATGCCAAACCACATGAAGATCACCCAGGAGCAGAAACTTAAAAGAGACAAGGACCTTCCTCCTGAGCCGACAGAGAGCCTTCTCCTAGAGCCGGCACCCTGAATTCAGACTTCTCATCTCCTGTGAGAAAATAAATTTCTGTTTGTTAAAGCTATCCACTTGTGGTATTTCTGTTACAGCAGCACTAGATAACTAAGACAGTGTATTTTAATAATTTATTGTTGTTGTTGAAAAATACACAGCAGAACGTACACCGTCTCAACAATTTCTCCACGTACAATTCAGTGATACTGATTACATTCTTCTAGTTGTGCAGCCATTCTCACCGTGCTTTTCCGAATTGGTCCTCCCCCATTCACATAAACTCACTGCCTGCTAAGTTTCCTATCTAATCTTTCGGGCTGCTGATGTCAGAGCTTTTGATTTTAAGAGAAGGCAGAAATCTGGATTATTTTACATGTAATCTATGTTAAAATGTTTGACAATGAAATAAAACAGTTAAAACTGGGCTGGGTTTGACCACCTCTGACTGAAGTCTTTCTGTAGTTAGATTACCTGTGTGTTCCCTTCAGCAAGACTGGGTTTGATTGGAAGCCCAGAGGGAGGTTTCCCTGTCTGCCTCACTCACAGGGCCGACCCCAGTAATGGGATAAAGTGCCAGGCTGGGAGGGGCTCATGGCTTCTGGCTCACCTGGCCTTGTGCTTTCAGGGGAGCTCTTTGCTCAGGCACCAGTGGATCAGTTTCCTGGCACAGCTGTGGAGAGTGTGACGGATTCTAGCAGGTACTTTGTTATCCGCATCGAAGATGGAAATGGTATGTGTGGGTCTTGGTGCTTCCTCTTGAGAAGGGTGTTTTCCTCTGCCTCTGGAATGTGGGCTTGATCGCATGTTGTCCCCAGGGCGACGGGCGTTTATTGGAGTTGGCTTCGGGGACCGAGGTGATGCCTTTGACTTCAATGTTGCGCTACAGGACCATTTCAAGTGAGTGGTCCCTGGAGACACATGCTCATGTCTCCTCCCTCCTTTCCCGGGACAGAATGATTTCCCAGGTTAGGATACCCAGTGATTGTGTGTGATTTCTCTGCTAGCAGAGCCTCAGGAATACTCAGGAGTTCTCCTTCAAGGCAGTCCCCTCTTCTCTCCACTCAGCCAGTCCCCATCTCTGCTTTGAAGTCACCTGCTTTTCCTGAGACCCATCTCTGCCATCCTAGTCAGCTGGCACCATGAAGGTGTCGGTCACATCTCTTCCCTCACCTGGCCCTGAGCTAGGCTTATTTGGCCTTCCTGGGCCTGCTCCTCCATGAAATAATAAGTGTTGGTTGGATTCTCAGGCCACCCAACAGACACCCTGGTAATCCTTTAAGAAGCTAAAATACGGGCTGGGAATATTGCTCCCCACTTCTGCAGTGCTCCCTACCGGCTGCCAGAAAGTAGAGGGTGCCCAGCTGCTTGTGTGGGCGCCTCTGGCTCTTCCCTGACCTGGTGCTCTGCCGGGGTGGCTGCTGGATGGATGGTTGTATAGAGGGTGGGAGACCTTTGTGTTACTCCCTACCTCCTGGGCATTTCTCTGGTCTCACCGTCTACCTTATGAGCCTTTGGAGGGTGGTAGAGACCATGTCTTAGTTCTGATACCACGTGCTGGGCAGGCAGGTTCTCAAATTTCCTGAAGGCCAGTAGGTGCCACGTGGTGTGCTCAGACCCCCTACATAAATGGTCACATTGAATTCTCATTGCGATTCTTAGGACAAAGAGAATTGTCATCTCGTTTTACTGATGAAGAAGCTGAGGTGCATGCAGCTGTCAGAGCTAGGATTTGAGTTCAGGCCTAACTCCCCACCTGTGCTGTTTTACCACCCTGCCTCAATAAAAGCCTCAGCCTGGGCTGATGGCAGGTAGCGGGTGAGTGAGTGAGTGCAGGGCAGCTGGTCTCTTCCTTTCTCACCTTTCTCTTCTGGTTCTCTCCCCAGGTGGGTGAAACAGCAGTGTGAATTTGCAAAACAAGCCCAGAACCCAGACCAAGGCCCCAAATTGGACCTGGGCTTCAAGGAGGGCCAGACCATCAAGCTCAACATTGCGGTGAGTCTTACCCTCTTTTCACTGTGTTGACCACGGTCATGTGGTCACATGATACTGGCTACCAAATGAAGCCCAGCCAGAATCCATCACTCCTTTCTCACAGTTCAGTTCCATCAATTCAGCAAATGTTTATTGAGTACCTGCCTTGTGCCAGGTACTTCGCCAGGGGTGAACAAGAGGCCTCTGCTCTTAAGAAACTCAGAGTTGAGCTGAGACAGGCAAGGAAAGATGCAGTTACAACTTGGCAGGAGAAGTTCTATGACCAAGGATGCTGTGGGCTCCCAGAGGATGGGCATGTAGCCCAGAGCTGGGGGAGCCAAGAAAGGCTTCCTGGAAGAAGTGACCTGTAAACAGGTAACAGAGATCAGAGAGTGGTTTGAGCAGAGGGAACAGCATGTGCAAAGCCTCTGAGTTCAGAAGGAGCGTTAGTTACATGCCCCGAGAGCTGGTATCTCTGGCTACTAATGTGGGTCAGGAGGGGGTCAGTGTGCTCATCCCAAGCTATATCTTGGCCTCATGCTTGGGGTGAGGAAGAGTTTGGGAGCTCTGGGAAGGAGGCATCCAGGTAGGTGGTAGGTGACCGGCCTTTGATCAGGGGATGCCATGGGCAGAGCAGCTTCTGCTGGTAGTGTTGATCAGGCTCCCTGTGTCTTCATTCTGAGCTGCCCTGTACCTGGCTTTCCCTTCTTTGCACCATGCGTGCAGCAGCCAGTCTCTCTGAGATCAGGAGAAGGTTGGGGTGGACTGGGTTGCTAAGGCTTGGTCTTTATCTGGCTGCAGGGGTGGAATGGGGTTGGGGTTGAATCAGAGCCCTGATTTGGGGGAGCTAAGGATCCAGTGAATTTGTTTTTTGAAGAAACTGTAACCCTAAAATAACACTCTTCCTTCTTACTTATTGTCTCTTTCTCCTCTTTTCTGCTTCATGCTGGTGATGATTTGGGACCCTTGAAGTTGGCCAGCTGGCCCTTAAGAGAAAATACAGGTCAAATCCAGTGGACTGGTTGGGATGTGATGCTTGGTCTTTCTTGGAGGAAACTAACATTTAATGAGCGTCTGCTGTGGGCCAGGTAGTGTTTTTAGGCACTTTCTCATATGAAATAAATCTCCTCCTTTTATAGACGAAAAAATTGAGGCTCAGGTTAGAGAACTTGCCCAGGGTCATAGAGCTAGAAATAACTGGTATGGCTGGATTCACAGGGAGATCTTTGAGGTCTTTGGACTTCAGAGCCGTGGTCTTAATCATTTGATTATGTTACTGCTTCCCATACAAGCCATACAAGTAGGGAACCATGTCGTCTTCATCTTTGAAACTTGCTCTGGTTTGTGGCTCACACTTGGTTTGTTTGTTGCGTTCAACCTTTTATTGAAGTATAATAAAATGCATACGAAAAAGTACACAGATCATAAATGCAGAACTCAGTGAATTTTTTAAAAAACAACATACCCAAGTAAACCAGCACTCAGATCAAGAAGCAGAGTGTCAGCATGCCAGAAGCCCCTCTTCTGCTCTGCCTACCCCGACTAACCACTGTCCTGATTTGGAATACCCTAGATGTTGCCTGTCTTTAATTTTTATGAATTGAATCATACACTTTGTACTCTCCTGCATATGACTTTTCTCTTTCACTCAATATGATGTTTCTGAGATGGATCCGTGTTGTTGCATGTAGTTATTTGTCCTCATTATTGTGGCATATTCTGTGGTAAGAATATACCCAATTTACTTACCCATTTTACTAATGGTAGACATTGGGCAGTTTCCAGTTTGCAGCTATTACAAATAGGGCTCCTGTGGAGGTTGGCGTCCATGTCCTTTGGTGCACATATGTACGCACCTCTGTTGCGGGGTCATAGTTCAGTGTTTGCCTTTAGTAGATTCTTCCCATTTTTCAAAGTAGTTTTACCAGTTTACACTGCCAGCAGCAGTGCATGAGTGTTCTGGTTGCTCCATACGCTTGTCAGTACTGAGGGTTTTCATTGTAGCCATTCTAGTGGGTGTGTAATAGTATATCATTTTGATTTGCATTCCTCTAATATTTAGTGAAGTCAGGTGCTTGCTTTTTAAAACATTCCTGATAGCTTTAGAATGGTGATGCATTGAATACGGCTCAGAACAATCAAGGTGTCAAGGTATGGGATGGCTCTTGACCGTGTTTGGGTTATACAGATGTTTGGGGTCTGGGGATCACGTTTTCCATCTCCCTGTGAGGTTTTCTAATAGCAGGTGGGACTTCAGCAGAATTGACTAATTTGCATTCTTCTCTTCTGTTTAGAACATGAAGAAGAAGGAAGGAGCCGCTGGGACTCCCCGAGCCCGGCCCGCCAGCACAGGAGGACTGAGCCTGCTTCCTCCTCCCCCAGGGGGAAAAGTCTCCAGCCTTATCCCTCCCCCTGGAGAGCAGTTGTCTGTTGGGGTGTCCCCCGCCCAGCCAGCAGTTGTTCCCAGTTCAGGTCAGTGCACAGTAGTGACCGTAAACCAGTTGCCATGGAGTCGATATCTGACTCATGGCGACCCCGTGTATGTCAGAGTAGAACTGTGCTCCATAGGGTTTTCAGTGGCTGATTTTTCAGAAGTAGGTCTACTTCTACAAGGCACTTCTGTGTGGACTCGAACCTCCAGCCTTTTGGTTAACAGCAGAGTACTTAACCATTTGCACCATCCAGGGACTCCAGTGGTGACTGTACTTTCTGCTTAATCTGCCCCAGTGGGTTCCCCTCCCTCTGGCAGCAGGGGCACCGTGGCTTTCTCTCCTTCACTCACTGATCCGCCACTAGTACCTGTACATGTCAAACTCGATCCTGCACACACCAGGTAAGAGGTTCCCCTGCTCCGTGAGTACCCACTACTTATCCCTTCTGGGTGTCTGCCCACCTGGCAGGAACTACTAATTTGTTACTCTGAAGTGGTCAGCATGTAGGTTCCTGGTTCTCTGTGTCGGCTTGTGGGTGATGGAGCCCTGGGCTCTGCTCATGGGGAGCTCATATCTAGTGGGAAGGATGAGTCACAGGCACAGAGACCCAGTGTGTGGGGATGAGACTCACTTCCAGTCAGAGTGATCTCCAGGGGCTTCACAGAAGAAGTGGCATTGAGCTGGGTCTTGAAGGAAGGAGATGGGGGCAGGGACAGTTGGCATTCTCGGCAGAGAGACGAGCATAAATAAAGCTCAGGCTTGTAAACACCTGATGTGTTCAGGGTGATGGCTGCAGCATAAGGTATGCAAAGGTGAGTGGTAGGAAGTAAAAGTGGTGATAGTGTTTGGCACAAGCTCCCCAGTGAGGCCTGGCTATCAGGCTGCTGTGAAGCTGTGAGGCGGCTCCCCCAGTAAGCTGTGCTGGTGCTTCCAGGGTCTAAGGAGAGCCCCAGGGGCTCGTGAGAAGTTAGTGCCTAGTGCCAGCCTCTGCCAGTGCCCAGATGCCAGCCCCTTCTCTATCTCCCTGCCCTGCCTGGCCCAGCTTGATGCTCCCGGATTCCCCAGGCTGGGTGATCGTCACCAGCCTTCTTTCTCCACACAGCTCTTGCCAGATGTTGAGTCCCTGATGTTGGCTCCCCTGGTTAGAGGTTGGATTTCCAACCTCAGCCCTGTGGGGAATGCCCCACAGGAGGAGAAGCACTCCAGTAGCCCCTGCCCTGGTGCCAGGAATTAATTCTTTAAGCATTGTTTCTTGGGGGGGAGGGTCACGGACCACCTGCTTGGCATTGCTTTGGGGTAAGGGGCAAGAATCTGCATTCTTACTGTGCTCCCTATGTTAGTTGGATGCTTACTGAGGTCTGAGAGCCACTGCCTCAGGCCCCGGGTTGCTGGTGTTTTTTGATTTTTTTTTTAAATATTTTTTGTTGTTGTTATTATTGAGACTGTACATAGCAAAAACATACACCAGTTCAAGTTTCTACATGTACAATTCAGTAACATTGATTATATTCTTTGAGTTGGGCAACCATTCTCACCGTCCTTTTCCGAACTGTTCCTTCCTGCCAGTCCATTTTTAACCAGTAAGATGGAGTACCTGGCATTAGGGATCCTGCACCAAGTCCCTGCCCTCCAGAGCCCTCATTCTAATATGTAAGACAAGGCAGTTGGCATGTCTGCAAACAAAATGGTTTCAGATAATGAGTCATGAATAGCTAACATTTATTGAACACTTACTATATGCTCCAAAACCAGACTGCCTGAGTTCAAATTTTAGCTCACCAGCTATGTGATCTTCAGAAAATTGGTCAGTTCTCTGTGCCTCAGTTTCCTCATCTGTAGGATGGAGATAGTAATGGTACCTACAGCACAGGTTTCTTGTAGGGATCAAATGAGCTAATCCAGGTACGGCGCTTAGAATAATACCTAGAACATTGTAATGCTCACTGAATGTTAGCTTGTGTTTGTTAATAATGTCATCATGTTCCTATTCTAAGCACTCCACATTTTAATCTTCCAGTCCTGTGAAGTACTATTAGAGATAAGGAAACTGAGACTTAAGTGACCTGCATGAAGTCACACGGCTAGCCCTGTCTTTCCCCAGGGCCAGTAATGAGGTTCAGATGAGATAATGTATGTTGAGCACTTGATAAATTAAAACTCTATAATCTGTTGAAGGCCCTAGTTTTATGTGGTTTCCCAGCCCAGAGTAGATAAAAAATAGCAAACTGGTAGGAAGGCGGAGGGTGGCAGGCGTGTGGCGTTCAGAAGGGACAGTTGGCAGCTCCTGGGGAGGTACCAGAAAAGCACAAAAGCAGGCACTACAGCCCCATCCTGCCGCCCACCATGTGAACAGACACGCAGCGGTATCAGCAGCTGTGTCACCCTTTCTGGAAGGCCCTCCTCAACCCCTAAACCAGATGTCTGGCACGTAATGTGCACTCAGCAAGTATTGGTTGATCCAGACACTGGACTGAGGGCCTTAGATTAGATGACCTTATGGTTTTAGTGGATGTTCTCCATTCAAGAAGCCAGGACAATAGATAGTAAGTTTTAGATAGATTTTCACCATCAACAGTTAAAAACAAAGTCAGCTTCAGGTATGGGTGATGATGACATGTGATCACCCTCACTGCCCGCCTCCCCTCTACCTTGTATGTGGCTTTCTGCCTTTTCTCCAGGAGCCCCCTGGGGCTTGTGAGAAAATGGTGGAAATGTGGCATCTCATTGGTGCTTTGTTGTCCAAAAACACGTTTCACTGTGGGTCTTCTCAGCCACCTGGAGTCACAGACTGATTTTGGGGTCATTGAGACATCTGACAAAACTGATAAAAAAGAGATCTTTGACTCCTTTGTCTCCTTCTCTTCTTTCCCAACCCCTTGGACATCGATAGGAGGTGCCACCGTGTCTTGGCCGCAGCCCAAGCCTGCCACCGCCGATGTCTGGGGAGACTTTACCAAATCGACAGGGTGAGGAGGGTCACGTTCTCATGGTGGGACTAGGGTCAGGGCTGTTTCTCTAAAAACACGTGGGCTCCATACACCTCCCTTGTGGCTGGTTTGTTCCTACACAGCAGCTCTGATGTGGACATTTTCAGGCTAGCCAGAGCACAGAGCCCCAGTGCCCCTGCTTAGGCTGACACAGTTATCTCCAGGAAGGCTTTTGACTGCTCTCCGCTGCTGGGTGACCTGGAACGACGTTTTGCACATCTTTCTGGTCCTTTAAACCACCTCACCAAATGCTTGGCTTGTCCTCAGTACTTCCCTCTCTCCGCATCTCCCCAGCTGCCCCAGATGAGTGGGCTGAGAGTTAGAAGACCCAGCTTCTAGCTTTGGCCCATCCTCATGGGACCTCTGGTAGGTCTCTTGCCCTCTCTGGCTCCAGAAAATATCAGGCCTTCACTTGGAATCAGGGTGAAAAGATGCCAAATTCCTATTGCACCATCATGTATTATATAGTCTATGTTAGGGGTCAGCAAACTTTTTTTGTAAAGGACCAGATAGCAAATATTTTGCGCTTTGCAGGCCATATAGTCTCTGTTGCAACCAGTCAACTCTATTGTTGTAGCATGAAAGCAGCCACAGATAATAAGTAAATGAATGAGTATGGATGTGTACCAATAAAATTTTGTTTACAAAAAGAGGCAGAATGCCCAGTTTGGCCTGTGGACCATGGTTTGCTGAACCTTAGTCTGGAACATTCAGGGACTGACTTCCTAGAGCTCTTTCTGCAAAGAGAGAAGATAACTTTTATCTGCTTTGTATTTTCAAACATCTGACCCCCCCACATCTCCCTATCTTCCTTTTATAGGTCAACATCCAACCAGACTCAGCCTGGCACAGGCTGGGTCCAGTTCTGACCTGAGCACACTCTTTTCCTCATACAACTTCTGGAAAGGAGCCACCTCATCTGGGACATAAGAAGGAGGATGAAGCGCTCCCTGCTGGCCCCTGTGTTTGGAGCATGACTCTCTCCTCCATGCCTGGCTCCTTTGACAGACTGGGCGCATTAAACAGTCAGTTGGCACCTTGTCACACTGGTTGGTGCCTGGGATCCCAGTATGTGACCAGAACACAGGAGAAGAAAAGCTGTAGGAGCCCCATCCCTTTTGTCCTCTTGCCATGAGAGAGACTCCGAGGCTTGACTTCTTCCATCACAATGACCCATATTAAACACAAGCCCCAAAAGCAAAAGAAGGGGTTGAGTTTGCTACCTGGATTCACATCAGCCCTTCTCAGGGTTTACATGTGTCACGTGATCGCTGTTCAGAAGAGGGGCTTTCTGCACTCTCTTTGTCTGTAGTCACTTAAGGAGGCTTCCTTCCTGATTTCTAGCAGGTTTATAGGCCGCAGCTTGAATAGACAATTAGGAGGGGAGTTGGGAGTATTCAGTAGCTTTTTATTTCCTTTTTAATATTTGCTTTGCAAATGTGCTGATCTGCCCTAACTCCTTGTCTTTGCAAAAGGGACTGCTTCCACGGCGTGCCCCAATAGGAGCCTCTGAGACATTCCCCTGTCAGCGCAGGGCTGCCCTGGGCCTCAGGAAGCAGTGCGCAGCTCTGCCAGGGTGCCTGGTTTCCATGTCTTCAGCCCAGGCGGGCAGTGCAGGGCCGAGGCAGGCGCTGAAAGAGGATGGAACTGTTTGGTCAGAAGGTGGGAACTCGTCTCATGGAGGTGCGTCAGCCCTTCTGTCCGCTGGCAGCTCTCTGGGGCTCACAACGCAGTTCCTTGGCTGACTTGGGTTTTCTCCTTGGAGGTTTCTGAAGTGCCTTGTCTGCAGACAACCTCTTTTTTTCTCCTTCAGGGACTGTCACTGACAGACAGGAGCTCAGAGTGAACTGGAAGTCTAAGGTTGCTTGGATTACTGGTTCATCAGAGATAATTTTATCTGAGCTCACCTCTGAAATTCCTTTTATTGACTCATCTTACCTCTCAGCTGAGAGATTTCTTTTGTGAAGGGTGAAGACCATGAACTGAAAGAAGTGTTGGCCTGTTTGTGGGACCAAATTTCTAAGATAAAGAAATAATAAATTTATTTCTATCAATATATGTCAAAGATGCAAGTATTTTTAGCAGCATGGCTGCTAAACCTTATTTCAAGATGCCCCAGCTAGACTGGCAGCCACGTCTGTCACCACTGAGCACACGTCTAGGTTTAAAGTCTGGGGCCAGGGTGTCAGCTTGGCCAAAGTGAGAGTTAGACCCTAATGCCCTGAGCCAGCCAGACACTTCTTTACTGTGCATCTAGAAGAGCACAATCTGTGCACCATCCTTGGAACTGTTGGGACAGCAGTTGCTCACATCATTTTCTGTAGGGCCTAATTCTCTTGTGGAACTTTGGGTACGAAAGGTTGTGCTAGAGCATCTGGCTCCTTGCCTTCTGAAGTGAGGGGGGTCCTGCCTCCCACCAAGACCTCCTTCTGGAGGTATCTCTCTAAATAGGAGGGGTGTTCAGATGCACGGAGGTAAAAAAAAATATACTGCTCTTGCCTGAGGATTCTGTAAGAAAGATACAGCCTTTATCATTGGTTTTGGAGACAGCCATTCTGGGAAATACACAGTGTTGTTATTGTTAGCTGCCGTCAAGTCGGCCCCTGACTCATGATGACCCCACGTACAATAGAAGGAAGTGCTGCCCGACCCTGTGCCATCCCCATGATTGTATGTGAATGGAACCATTGTGAGTGTAGGAGAAGAGAAACAAAAATTGAGGATCCTCTTGCCCATTGAATAAGGACAAGGCAAGCATCAGAGGATTCTCGGTAATAAGCCTGTGTGTATTTCACATCACATTACTTCCCACCTGGACGAGAGTTACTTTTTTCTAAGTGCTTGAAGGTTGGAAATGAGAAAGCTTAGACAGAGGAAGCCCTTCATTAGAAGTTACTGTATTCCATGGAAGGTTCTGGACACAGACCTGAGCTTTGGATCTAGACTCCCCTGGTTAGATGTGTGACCACAGGCTCCCCCTTCCTTAACCTCTGAGCGCCACTCAGGTGAGGCATACAAAGCATTAGCAGGTGCACATTGGATAGTTTGGCTTTAATTACTGTTACCTAGAGTTAGGTTGCCATGAGTTGGAATTGACTTGGTGGCAACTGATGGGTTGGTGTAAGATACCAGACCTGTTAATTATGAGGAAGAGGAGGAGGCAGCTGATAAGGAAGCAGCCATTAAGATCTAATTGAAAAGTACCTCGAGTCTGGGGCAAGGAACAGTTTGGTGCTCTCTGTCACCAACTGAAAATTTCTTGTTACAGGCGCAGGATCCTTGGGAAAACTGAATATCCAACCAGGAACCCCTTTGTTACACTCCTGACTGGAGCTTGCAAATTGGTGGGGGTAGGGGTGGGAGGTGGATAAAATGGATGACAGGAGATAGGCATTGGTTTGGGGGTCTGTGAGACCTAAGCTACTCTCTGCACAATGGGAGGATTTAGATACGCTGAGAGGTGTAGCGGACAGACTCAGGTGGCCCCAGGGGGGGTTATCCACTAGGCAAGGGAAGCACGGTGCTTACCTTGCTTACCAGATCATCTGTAGTGAACAATTTCACATCTTTTCACCACATCAAAGATTCTGCTTCTAGGTCTGGGTGGCATCTGTCTCTCTCCCAACTCCACAGCACCTTCCTACAGAATAAAAGCCTCTTTTCAAATTTACAATCCCTGACAGGGGTGGATGACCCAGTAAGCAAGGTAGCACGAGTTTACTTGTGCTTACTTACTAATCTGTAGTGAGCAATTCCACATGAATTTCATGTGAATGATGTGGTGAAACCTATGTGAAATTGTTCACTACAGATAATAAGCAAGTTAAGCACTGGGCTTACCTTGCTTATTGGATAATCTACCCCTGGATGGCCCCCATGACCTCCACTTCCTGGGATTCATACTCTTGTGTAGTCCCCTCCCTTCAAATGTGGGCAGAATCTGGGACTTGCTTCTAACCAATAGAATAACACAAAGGTCATGAGATACTACTTCCATGATTATGTTATATAAGGTTGCAATGTTTGTCTTGCTTAGAGACTCTTGCTGGTTTTGAAGAAGCCAGCTGCCATGTTGTGCGCTGCTCTAGGGAGAGGCCCATGTGGCAGCAGATGGTGACATCTTGCTAAGAGCCTCTGAGGAACTGACGCCCTCAGTCCAACAGCCTTCCAGGAACAATCCTGCCAACGACATGTGAATGAACTTGAAAGTGGATCGTTTCCTAGTTAACCTAAGATGATGCCACAGCATCATCCGACACCTTGATTGCAGCCTGTGAGGACCCTGAACCAGAAGACCCAGAAACACTGCACTGGATTCCTCACCCTCAGAAACCGAGAGAATCAACGTATGTTGTCTTAAGTCGCTAAGTTTTGGGGATTTGTATACAGCAGTAGATAAGTAATAGAGGCTATTTCCAGTCTTTTGCTATGACAAGCAATATTACAGGTGATTTTAATATTTTTTGTGTTTTTCTGTTTTTAAATTTACCTGCTTTGAATCTGTTATTGTTGTGTTCTGTCATTTCCAACTCATAGTGACCTCATGTGACAGAGTAGAACTGCCCCATAGGGTTTCCTTGGCTGTAATCTTTATGGGAGCAGATCACCAGGTCTTTTCTCCCGTGGAGCTGCTGGTAGATTTGAACTGCCAGCCTTTCGGTTAGCAGCTGAGCACTTAACCATTGCGCCACCAGGGCTCCTCTTTGAATCCGTAATCAGGAGAAAAATCCTAAACTTTAAAATATCTTCTGACATTCAAGCTGCTGTGAGGAAAAGTTGGTCTTGTCCCTCCTCCAGCCCACTCTGCCCCCAGAGCCTCAGCTCGCCCTGCTCACTCCCTGCTCAGACACTTCCAAGTACCTATTCAGTGGCTACTTACCACTTCTGCGACTTTGGTTACATCTCACTGTGCTTCAGTCTCATTTGTTAAATAGGGATGAGTACCTACCTCAGGGAGCTCTGGCAACACAGTGGTTAAGCACTTAGCTGCTAACCAGAAGGTCAGTGGTTTGAACCCACCAGCCACTCCATGGGAGAAAGACGTGGCAGTCTGCTTCTGTAAAGATTACAGCCTTGGGAACCCTATGGGATGGTTCTCCTCTGTCCTGTGGGGTCGCTATGAGTCAGAATCGACTCAACAGCAACAGGTTTGGGTTTTTATTTTTATTTTTTAACATTACCTCAGTCACACTGTGGTGGCTTGCATGTTGCTGTGATGCTGGAAGCTACGCCAAATACCAGCAGGGTGACCCACGGTGAACAGGTTTCAGCAGAGCTTCCAGACTAAGACAGAGTAGGAAGAAAGACCTGGTGATCTACTTCCAAAAATTAGCCCATGAAAACCTTGTCGATCACTACAGAACATTGTCCCACTCACTTGCTTTGGACGTGCCATCACGAAGGATCAATCACTAGAGGAAGACATCATGTTTGGTGAAGTAAAGGGCCAACAAGGGTGAGGGAGACCCTCTGTGAGATGGATTGGCACAGTAGCTGCAATGATGGGCTCTTGAACATGCTGGTAATCATGAGGATGACACAGGGCCAGGCAACATTTTGTTCTGTTGCACGTAAGGTCACCAAGAATCAGAGTCAATGGCAGCTATCTCCCTATCTACCTACCTCAGAGGGAAGGTGGTTGTAATGGTGAAATGAGTGTAGGTATTAAGTGCATAGAACAGTGCCTAGCACAGGGCAAGCATTTCATAAGCAATAGCTGCTACGTTGGAAGCAAGGGGAAAGTAAGGCCCAAAGAAGCATGTTAAGTGGTCTCCTAGGGCCATACAGCCTGTAAATCTGTCCAAACTTTTCCACACAGATTCCTACTTCAAATACCCTTAGCTCTCCTCTTGTGTTAGTTATCTATTGCTGCGTAACTATATTACCACAAACTTAGCAGCTTAAAACAACACGCATTATCTCACAGTGTCTGTGGGTCAGGAGTCTGGGCATAGCTCAGCTGAGTTCTCTGCAAGGTTGCAGGAGCCCTGGTATCACAGTGGTTAAGCACTGGGCTGCTAACCAAAAGGTCAGTGGTTCAAACCCACCCAGTGGCTCCATAGGAGAAAGATGTGGCAGTCTGCTTCCGTAAAGATTCCGTTAAACCAAACTCATTGCCATCGAGCCGATTCCGACTCATAGTGACTCTGTAGGACAGAGCATAACTGCCCCATAGGGTTTCCAAGGAGCAGCTGGTGGATTCAAACTGCCAGCCTTTTGGTTAGCAGCTGAGCTCTTAACCACTGTGCCACCAGGGCTCACCATAAAGATTACGGCCTAGGAAACCCTGTGGGGCAGTTCTACTGTCCTATAGGGTAGCTATGAGTTGGAATTGACTCAGCAGTAATGGGTTAACTGTAAGGCTGCAATCATGGTGTAGGCCAGGGCTAGGGTCTCATCTGAAGGCTTGACTGGGGAAGGATCCATTTCCAAGCTCATGTGGTTGCGGGCAGCATTCAGTTCCTTAGTAACTACTAGATTAAGGACTTTAGTTTCTTGCTGGCATGTCTTATTGATGGACATAACAGTTTTTCTAACTTTTTGCTATTAAAGTCAGGCATTTTAGAAAGGCTTTCCAAGTTAGCCTTCAGATATCCAGCAAATGCAGTTAACCAGAATGCCTGTCCTCTAAGCCTCCTGGTTAATGTGGTTTTGCTGATGGTGGACAGAGTCCAACCCAGCCTAGCACCAGGATTTGGCAGACGTTTGGCCCTAGCAACCTTGTTTCCCAGTTACCTGAGTTGCAGATTTAGAACCCTCCACAGTGAGCAGGTGAGCACCTGACATAACTCCCTTCTGGTTGCTGGTCCTGAGGTCATTGGGCTGGCTACCACCTGGTTATGGGAAGGAATGACCAGTGGGTGACAGCCCTGGGGATTCACATGATCACAGGCCAGGCTGAGCTGAGCCACAGAGTCAACACAGCAGGGGACCCAGGCTCTTCACATAGAGGAGTTAGAGGCCTCCCAAAGAAGCAGATGTAAGTATGTGCCTCCCTGCAGGAGGGAGACCCAGGACTTCTTGAGCCGGCTCCTGTGGCTTCCAGGTTTAAGAAGATCAAGGAGAGAGGAGCTGTTTGCTATCTTCCCTAAAATCTCGAGTGAGGCAGCATGGTGTAGTGGAAAGGGCGTGGAATTGGAAGCCACTGAGCTGTCTGCTGTGTGTCTTTGGGCAAGTGCCTCACCTCTCTGAGCCTCAGTCTCTTCTTTTGTAAAATGAAGGTAATCTTCAAACCTGTTTCACAGAAGCGTTCAGGGAGGACTGAGGACAGAATGAGAAAGTGTGAGAGGAAGCAGCCAGCACAGCACAGGAGCACAGCCAGTGTAGGCCACCTGGGAGGTGGAGGTACTGGTGGAGAGGGGCCTGGGCAGGACAGGCAACAGGCTGGGTCCTCTGAAGGGAGGGGTGGGACCTGAGCCCAGCCCCTCTGCTGGGAGGAGCACTCTGGAGTGAGTGAGTGAGCAAGGGCTCCAAAGGGACAGGCCGGATGAGAACTGGACTGGTGGGGCTGTGAGCCTGTCAGGTAGGGACCCAGCAGGTCTGGAGACTCCAGCTGGGATCACAAGCCAGCCATGCATGGTCACCTGGGGGCAGGCTTTACAGCAGAGGTCAGCCCTTCCACAGCCGGGCCAGGACACTTCTGGGAGACTGGGCCCTTCTCCCAACCCTGGCTTCCCCCTCCCCCTAGACCCTAGGGATTGACCCAAATGTCCCTTGAATCAGCCTTGGCCCAGGCCACAGCCTTGCCCGCACCATTAGCAGCCTCTAAAACCAGGTTCCCCTTTGATAAATATAAAGCTCCCCCTTGAGTCAATTCCAGCCCATGGTGACCCCATGTGTGCAGAGGAGAACTGCTCCATAGAGTTTTCAAGGCTGTGACTTTTAAGAAGCAGATTGCCAGGCCTGTTTTACAAGGTGCGTCCGGGTAGGTTTGAACCACCAACCTTTCAGCTAGTGGTCCAGCACTTAACTGTTCACGCCACCCAGGGACTCCTTCTACCATCCTGGAAACGCAGAACTATCGGTCAGGGCCTGAGGGTGTTTCTTTCTGGGCATTTATTGTCCTCCAGACATAAAATTCTAAAAATTACACATGCTTTTTCAAACAAATCACACTTCTTCCTCAGCTCTAGGTTCAGACTCGCCTCCCGGTTTGAAAAGGAGTGATTTGGTCCAGTGCTTTCAAGTACAGAGAGAGGTTGAGGTCTGTGGGGGGTGGAAGGTAACATTATTACTGTAGAAATAAGCACCAGACTTCCACAGCGCTGTGTTTTCGTCTCAAAAGCATGGTTTCCTCTATAGCTGTATCCTAACAACAACAACAAAGGCTGGGCCAGGGATTGCAGGCACTCTCCCTGCAGCCTGGCTGTGTTCCGATCCTGCGTTGCCACCTTGCAGCGGCGTGACCTTGAGCCACTTGCCTAATCTCCAGTTTCCCGCTTATGCGAAAGGAGATAATAATCCTTCTGTGCTCGGTTGCCCGGAGCAGTCAAAGCGCTCGTGTATGCAAAGCCCTCAGCACCATGCTTCATGAACCGCTTTATGAACGGTGCCGGCAAGCTCACAGCTCCCGCTCGCCCCACCCCCGTCCCAGGGCGCGCCCTCCGACCCGGGGCGACGCGGGAGCGCGGGTGGTTCCGGCGCCGGCTCCGCCCCCGTCCCCCTCGCTGCGGTACGAGGCCGGCCCCGCCCAGTACTGCCC